GTATACTCTTGGAAGTCAAGCCTCCTCTGTGCAAGGTGCCGTGTGACCCGTCACACTTATTATGTAGGCTAATGGAATGCTAAAAATTATCCAGTGCTTTTGAGTGCACTAGATAGAAGCAATGGTTTTGTCGCGGTGAAGATGGCCATTAGTTCGGTAGTCACCGCGAAAAAAATTCTAGTTGATCTTTAACTGGAGCTTGAAGACTTCAATTTGATGAAAGTATTCACAGTCCTCAAGATGGAGAAACACTTTGACCTGATTTTAGGTATACCGTGGCCTGAGGAGCACGAGCTATGGATCGATTGGTGGTCGAATGGGGAGTAGCTCGCCTGGCGTAGGTGAAACTCTTGGGAGTAATATATTCACATTCACTATGCGCCAAAGAAGTGCTCAAGTGCTCCGCATTCATATGCTACTGAAGATAATCCACACTTCATTGGTATATGTCATGCAATTGACATTCCCCAAGTTAGGGAAGATACGAAATCGTTTGGAGTGGCCGCGGGTGGTCGCTCAGGAAGTGTGTCGATAGATCAAGTGACGCCCGGAACAGGCTGCGTGAAAACGAATGAATCCTTGGAAGGCATGACGATTTGCACAACGGAAAAATTTATAAGGGAGAGATGGCGGTTGTTACCCCCCTTGACATCGATAGATGCATGCCTTTTTGAGCTTGCTTCTAGATGTGACCAATAGTCTGCCTTCACGCACTAACCATTGCTGCACTAATCATTCGACCGAAAGCAATGCCTGAAGCTCCCCTAGCAGTGAGAAAGTTAAACTTTACAGATGACGAAAGTCAGCTATTCTTCAAATGATGCTGCGGCGGTGCAACTATATAAAACTTGGCAAAGGTGAGGACAGCGGGTGAAATTTGTAACACGCGCAAGAATGTTCACTTTGAAAAACTGTTTTTTCAGGTACACACAAGCAGTGGCAACCCTTATACCTCCTAAAAGCTCTTAATGAGACCGATGTACGTCAAGACAGAAGGATCTTGTCGACATGTGTGTAATAGAAAGTCGAAGGAATCAACTGCGGCTGGATATGCCAATACTCCTACTAATACAGTCGTTGATTAGGATTGTGGGTCAGTGGATACGAAGGTGATGCACCCACCCGTTGTGTGGCTGAGAGATGGAATTAACGGAGTTTGTTGATCGATCCTCGAGGGTTAAACCCTCATGATTGCTTCTACCACCACACTTACAAGAGCTCATAACTGCCCTGCATCTACTGGGTTCCAGATCGCCTCGTGGTATTGGTACCACGTGCCTTTGGTCCATTACGACGCGACCGTTTTGAGAGGTTCCTCGTCCACAATCACGGTGGATGCTACCGAATTGTTGACATCTGTAACAGCGAACTTGATACCTACGGATAGTCACCGCGCTAAGCTCCATTGGTACCGGAATTCCGTTAGCAGCAGCCACCGCTTCCATTGGGATGACCGATTGACCACGTGCTTGACGTTGACAGTAGTCTTCACGCAATACAATCACAAGGACATCTCCCGGAGTCATCTGGCGGAAGACTTTAGTCTTAGGAGGGCCATAAAGAGGGGGACCACACCTGCCTCAGGCAGTGGTTCACTTGCCAGATAGTCGTACAGTATTCCGTTGTCATGATGGCATGACAAAACTTCGACCGTTTTCGTACCGCCACCACAGTTGCAGGAACATCGATTCCATGGTCTTTTCAACTCTTGCCATGTGGCAAAATGCCAGGGCGGTTGTTTTCCCATGTCATCTCCCATTTTTTTCTTTGGCCAATCGTATACGACACGGCAAAGGCCTCTTGAATGCGGTCATTATGAATTTGAACCATCGTGATAGCGATCTCCATTATCGCCGCCAAACCAAGATTTTCATCCTCGTTCCCGTAAAAGCTTCCCACCTTGATTTTCGCGGGACGTTCCTTGTGTACCGACAGTGTCACCACTACTTGTGGGGGGGGCTGTCATGGATCTGACGTCAGTATGTTCTCAAGTAAAAATCGCAATAATCCTCGCCCATACGCAGCAAAATTTGCTGGCTCTATGACATAGCTTCGTGCACTCGATAGAGAAAACTCAATCTAATTGATATCTCTCTATTTAAATATGAGTTTTATGCAAAATGTAGCCGAAATGAGAGACGAGTAAGTCAACAGCTTTTTCAGTAGTACTCGGGCCTTCCAGCGGTGGTGTCAAAGGAACACAAAGCATACCCAATCATTGATGTAAGTATATGAAGCCTTAGGGTATAGCATTTTGTGCTTTGAACGAAAACATCCAATATGGAATTAAGGAGGTATGTGCAAACATCTATGTAGCGGTGGACATGTCCAATATAGTGCTTGGCATTTCAAACAAAGCTCGCCGACCTTGTATGTGAAGCGCAGCACTCGAATTTTGATAATATGATCACCATCAAGCTATTTAACTAAAATTGCTCGATAAGTAGCTTGACAATATTTGCATCGTTTATGGTGTCGCTAACAGTAGCAATATACGCCATCTTAATCAGACGGTGCACAATAGATAACAATGCCGGGAAAACCGGGTTTAAATTTTGGAAGACAAAAAAAGTCCATTTCGATGGACAGCAATTTAATGCCAGGACTGGCAGACTGGTCAGAGGCACCAACGAATGCGGTGATGATTAACCCGTTGACACGTTTTGTGAAGCCATGATATCAGATAAGCGGTTACTGTAATGGAATGGTTGGTCTTTTACACAGTTTGTGCGGTACACACTTAGTGACAGGTTAGCTTAGTGTGCGATACGCTAATTAGTAGGTGATTACAATGAGGTACAGTCATTGCTATATTTAGGTTAAGGTAAGGATTAGGATAAAATCACCTATGATATATAAAGTCTTCATTTGATCAAGAGGTCCACACACAGTTGTGGTTAAAGGGGCGCGTACGACATATGCTAGAAGAATAAGCTTTAGGATAACGCTACCTCAGCGCAAGAGTGTTTAACCAACTGTTTCGTTACACTTATCCATAGTTTGTTTTGTCTCTTCTAAGATAATTCCATAAGATGCGTCTCGTCCATTTTTCTGTACTTGATGATCGCATCGTGAAGTACCTCAATATTATGAGTAACGAGTTCGATCCTGCTGATATCACCTCATCATTGCGCGGCAGCACCGCTTTGATATGCCACAACACTTGGCTTGGCGCGAAAGCGCATTCGCTGCCGCGGTAGACCGTCTTAGCTCATACTTGACTAACCAGACAGCAGAGATAAATAAGCATCTTTCTCTTCTATGCGAAAAAACTGGTGACAAGGTTGCTGTGTAAATGACGCATGATCTGTAGATCACAAATGGCTTGAAGCTAGCTAGGTATACCCGAACTTGAAACGAGCTCTTTCGATTGAAAGCTGATCCCTTCATATAAATAGATCTTTTCTACCGCATTTGACTATCAAGACCAAAACATGATGCCGCGTCAACCCCTTGGCATCTACTTGGAGCAAACACAACTTATTACAAAGACCGAATGCACCACAGACGAGATGAAGTGGTGATTAAAATTTGCTAATGTCATCCACGAGGCATCTTATTAAATCTTGGGGTGAAAACGTTTTTCTGTCCATTTTGATACCGGATTAAGAAGATTGGTATGTGCCGGAGCCATGCCGACGCAATTCTCACAATACCTGTAAAAGTGACTCGCCAGGCCAGGCCGCTTTTTGAAACTCATTTGAGGTCGAGAGCTTACCAATTTACAGCGGCTGTGGCTTTCGTGAGCTCGGCCTGCAGACCAAGTTGTCTATCAAGGAGCTTTGGAAATTAAATTTTCTACGGCGTCAAATACACAACTGTAATGGTCGTCAAATGGCCTGTTCATGTGCATACAATCGAGCAATTTCGCAGCGGATTCGGTGTGAATACACACATCGGACACCACGACTGTGGGGAATACATCATCGAAAGAGATCTGTTAGTATGTACGATGCAATCCAAACAGCTGTATTACCATACATGTTGTTGGCATCGTCAATAAATCCGCGGACTGCCTTCTATTGTCAACAGTCACTTTTTGTACTTATTCAATTCAACTGAATTAATCTAGACTTCTCATAGCCCGTGATGTTGATCTTGACAATCCCTATTTATCTAATTTTGATAGAACGTGGCGCACCCTTAAGCTGATTCCTATCAATCTTGACCTACACGAAGTATTAAAGAACATATTGCTTTCTCAATAGACAGCACTGCACCTTCTGAGATTCGATGTTTCCCTTCGATGACTTCGGCGCCGCACCTGTGCGGAAACGCGAGCCTGCCTGGTATTTGGCTCTTTACCTTTCAAAATGGAAAGAAGACCAGAGAAATGCTCGGCAGACGATATTTCGTTTTCTACCACGGAACGCCCAGGTCACTATCCACCTCTACATCTTATTGGATGCTCATTGCTCTTGATGTGCGCGATGAGCTTAATACTTGCTTGTATTAGACGGCTCTTGTGGCACATAAGCCATGCTCCACAAAAGATGCGTCACTAATTCGTCTTTAGAAAAAGTGGGGTAGATACGGTAACTCGATGCGGGCCACTCCTGACACTGGGTCTTAAAGAAATGGAAGCCTTAGAGAGGAAGTCCACCATAGCGTAGCGGCAACGGAAGTTCACGCTTACTGATACAGGCAGACATAAATACTTCTCGCACACGCTACGCCTACTGAGTACTTGCTGCACTTGCCGCTTGACCACTTCCATTACTGAAAATGCTCTTGTATCGATGTGCTTCATAAAAATTGTCAATTTTTGCACGCTGCTTAATCGCAGGCCGACCGCAAGTGCAACACGCTTATGCTCCATTTGGGTCATGGCACTTGTAATATCTTTGATCCGAAGAGATCGATTATTTGTCAATAGTGTCATAGGGCTGGATGTAATTGCAAGTATCTCCACTGATGTAGCTGATCGTGCTCTCTTAGACGGATGCCCGAGGCGCTCGAAAAATGTTTCGTACTAATTTTACAAGTCGCGCTATGTCTAAACAGAGTCATGAGCTAATGAGGTGTATCCTATTGTCCCAAGGATTAATGTTTAAACAAATAATGTGTCATCTCCGGATAGCTTATCGAGCATAGAAATATAGCATTTGTCGCGCACCTTGCAAGAAAAACGTTTTGTTTTGCAATATGCGTTTCGCTGCGACAAACCCACAGAGAATGGGTTCATCACAAGTGGAACAGATACTTCGATGTATATGTCACTATTACTATTTATATGGACGAGTTGTGTGGATTGTATTGTGTGAAGCGAACAGTCAACGTATTCCTCAGATCTCTGCTTTCGGAAGTCAAGCTCGACGGACAAAATCGACAATGGTGTAATGTGTACGTGCAACATAACGCATTACGTACCCCGAACTACTTTGCGTGAAATTTCTTCGGACATAGCAACGAAAATAGAAATCAAGTCAGGTATCTATGAGCGGTATTGACTTCGTATTATATAGGTTATTTGCAAACAAAGGTTGCGAAAGGAAGAATTGTCATTCTATACCTGGGTCGTTAGGTCGAAACCCTATCATTAAAACATCTGGACCAGTGTACAATAGTGTCGAATATAGTTTAGTAATTTTCGCAAGGTAGATTCGGTTTTAGGAACCAGCTTTGTGACTTACTTTGCTATTTATCGGAAAGTCAACTCATAAGCAGAGCCCTTCCGCTTCGGCTGCTGTTCCCGCGTCCTCCTCTTCTCTGCTCATGGAATTGCAGACTATGCCCTACTTCCTCCCCAGAATTTCTTCGGGATCATCTGTCTGGGTCCCAACACATAAGTTTCCGATACCGTACGCAATTTTAAGCTGAACTTTAGTAGGGCTTGAGCCTACCACCATAGTTTTTCAAGATGTATCTGCTTTCAAAGTATGATTGCGATTCATGAGAAGCTTGCAGTCAGCATACGTTAGACCGATATACCGGCATGTATCGAATGCTAAACTGGGTTGACTTGAAGTTGAGACTCAAGTACAACTTGCTAAGAGATCCATTAGTAATATGAATCAAACTTGAGCTCGTTGTAGAGAATTTTTTTGTTAATGTGCATTTAGATACTTTGGCTCCGCGCAAAGTTACGCGCCGTGCCGGAGTCAATTCTGTTCTAACGGACGACCGTAACCCTTCACACTCGCTGTGACCACATGGAGACCATTCCGACTCGTGTCGTTAATGAAGGACAGCGCGATCTCGATATTCCCGCTCTGGATGCGGTTGAGTCCAAGGGTGAGTTAGTCCAACGTACTACTCCCCAAGATGGAATTATAGCATAAGAATATGCTGATCCACGTATTGACTGGTTGTGAAGCTACAAGAACAGATGTGCCTTTAAAATCACTGCCGACGATTGAGAACTGGTGCAGCTCGAGGAAGTCACTTACGACGACTTCCTGCACATTCTCAATTATGATGACGTTGCGGAGGTAGTGTTTCTACGGTCGAAGGCTGACTAAGCGAGACTACGCTCATCATCAATAAGGATGATTCGGTCCTCGAAGAATTTTGAGAGCGTGTAGAGTCGCAAAAGATAGGCTATCTTGAATATCCAACTGATCTTATTATTCGCTTGCTATTACATACAAGGATGAGCAAACCTGCCCTTTAGGTCTCCACATGAACGTAGAATTCAACACAAAATTGATCGTGAACCTGGTTAAGAGCATGCAGTGCTTAGACAGTGGCCACTGTCGTGTGAACAAAATGAGAAGATCGATGATTCCTTTGCTAAAAATCAAGCTGCTGCTTTGGTCAGGAGAGCAAATATCCCTTCAAAGCGCACCGACGTTTGATGTGCGTAAACTAAATGGTAAATCCAATGGTAGTGGCGTATCGTTCACACCTATAACAAGTTAATTATGCAGACGATCCCCGGGCGAGCGCCGATTCCACGTAAGAATATCATCTCCCACCGTATATTCGGCTGTACAAGTTTAGTGTACTTGAACTGTGCGATGGATATTACCAAACCTTGATGATGGATGAGGACGTGAGGACGTTCCTTGACGGCTGTAAGTACACCGTCCAGTATGTTTTGGGGACTCGGCGGGCAACACGGGTGTCGTGGTATTCGTGAAACGTTTGAGCAAGATTGCTCAACTTGCGGCGGTGCCGTACACCATCGACGGTGTGGGTACAACGACGCTGTTTGTCTATCATGTCTTTAGACAGCATAAACTCCCAGAGTTAATTGTCTCTGACAGAGACCCGCACTTCACTGGGAAAGTTTGGTCTACGTTCTTCTGGGTGCTGGGTACCAAGTTGAAAATGGCAACGGCGGACCATCAGCAGACCAATGGTCAAACTGAGCGCGTGAGTCGCGTTGCTGAAGGATTTCTTCAGAGCGTCTGCGCTGAGACGACGATGCGCTGGAGCGCGATGTTGTCACTCGAAGGTTTGCTGTGAACAATGCAGTGCATTCATCTACTAGCTACAAGCCGTTCTACGTGAACGAGCTTGTTAATTCTTGCACTTCACTGGCACCGCCATTCTATGGCTCAGGGCTTGGTGGGGGAGGAATAGCCGAACGGCTAGCTGATGTCAGCCCCCTTACCTTGCGTAAGGAAGTCGGAGAATTCTTATCTACTAGACTGAGTGTCTTACGACACGCTCGCGATGCGAAGATTGAAAGCCAAGACATGCAGAAAGAATATACAGCTGGAAAAGCAGAAGAAATGCTGAAAACGTTAGGTTTGGAGACCTGGCTTGATTGAATGCCAACAAACTTCCTACGCATACAGTCTCTGCTGTTTTAAGACAAAGCTCCGTCCATAGTTTATTGGGCTTTTTTAGGTAGTGACCATGCGAGGCCTTGCGTATACGCTAAACATTCCAAGAAGAATGCGCACCCACCCGGTATATTATTTAAGCCGTACTGGGATCCGGAGCAAGTGAACGCGGAAGCATTGGCGCCGTGGCGACGTCCAAAGGCGCTCGGCCACCCAGAAGCTTGACTAGCAACTGGTTCTGAGCACGGAGTGAGACAATTTTCATTTTCATCGGCGCAAGGGTAGCACGAAGTGACGTATTCTTCTACTCGACGACTAGAAGCCGCTCCAACAGAGCGCGTTAATCCCCAACGTGATGCGGTCGTTGCACAAAATTCTCCAGACCCTCGAGGACTTCTGCACAGCGGTAGGGACCTCAGAGAAATGCTTGGCAGAGGGCCAATTACGACGGACTTTGTCCTCCAGATCTTGAAAAGCATCGCGAGTCCCCGAACGCCGATCGACCAAGTCGTCATCCCCCGTCGACAACTCTTCTAGATGAGAATTGTGGCGTCCACTATCACGTAGAGCGCGTGGTGGATCGACGTCGTCGACAGGATCTAGCCCAATATCTTGTAAAGTGGCGGGGATACCCAAACTCCGAGAAGTCATGGGAGTTTGAGATGCCACTTCGACAAGACGTCGTGGGCGCTTATGATCAGAAGGATGATGACGCTTCGCGTCGTTATGCACCCCGCGCTTCTCGGTAAAAGCCCGAGAAGCCGAACAACCATAAGCTGAGCTTAAGCTATGACCCTAAGCTGCTGTAGTCTTAGACTCTCCTATGTGAGAAACCACAGAGCTCACGGGAGCGTAATGGATGATTTCATGTGTCGCGGGGCGACAATACGCAGGAAGTCGGCGTTGCGCCTTTGGTTTGGCAAACTTAATTCGGAGATGGAGCTCAACGCGCACTTTAAACTCCTTGTGGCCTAGCTGTAAGGTAGACAGCGACGAAAGTTTCCGGTGCCGCACCCATCGCTCAACGAGCTCCTCATCATCTGGAGCGATTTCACCAGAGGTGATCACCACAGGAATAGTTCGCATGGCGGGTGCGGGAGCGCATCATTTTAAGCTTGAAGTCGAACTCGGTACCTATCCATTGGGATTTCTTAAGGTACCAGGAGCGAGCTTGGAGAGCTTTCCACTGGTCAAGTTTAGCTTGTGTAGTGGCCGACTACGTAGACGCCTAACGATAGAATGATCGCGTCATTCGATTCACACGAGGATCTAAGACTTATCGGGGATCCGAGTGCAGTAGAACCGCCCTGTAAGCAGCCTTC